TTCTCTCTGTGTTCAGTGTTACTTTGCATTATAGTGTAGGAAGCTGCTTTTGAGCTGCACTTGAGCTGTTTTTCGTGATTTTCTGTTAAATTTGCGGTGTGGATATTGAGACGTTTTCCCCTTGTCGTTGATCTGAAAGTGTGTTGATAGTGACATTGCTCTCTTTCTCTCTCTGTGAATAAAATAGGACTAAAATAGCTAAATTTCAAACCGCAGTCTTCCCTGACCCAGCTGCTGGCACAGATATTCCCTTCAGTACAAAGAAAAGGAGAGCAGTCCCATTAGTATGCAAGGTGCCGTCACAGCTCCTGAGGTCTGATAGAGGATCAGAGGATCAGCTCCTTTTACAGTCTGCTGAATGCTTGACCTGGCTTTTTAAGGAAAGCCGCTACCCCTCCCTCGCTCTCCCACCCACCTCCCCCTCACTCACACAGTCTGTTCAGTCATGGTTGAAATTTAGTTTTGGGAGACTCATCAAGGTCAATCAATGTTTCACCGAGTGTATGGTTTCTGCTCAAGAGTTTTTTGTAAACTTTATTCCTCCACCAGTAGTGAGATTGATTAGACGGGACTGGAAGCCGTACACACTTGGCTTTGTTTCCTAAATGGCACGTCACCCAATTAAATGTTCCCTGGCTTTGTGTTTTGTGTTATTTGCAAGGGGTAAATGGACAATGGAGCACTTCCTTTTTTTGGGGGGGCTAGCGAGGAATGTGCTTGCTCAATGGCGGAGAGAAATGTGCTTACAGGAAAACTATTTATTTCACAAAATATTGGAGCTAAAACGAAATGACAGTCAACTTATCTTAACCATTTTTATAATCGAGTTGTTGTTTCCAGCTTCTGAAATGTGTTTTGCTGCTTTTCTTTCTCTTATACGATGTGAAAATCTTTGAGTTTGATACACAAATAAGCAACCTGAAGACATATTCTGTACCTTAATTAATAATCTGCTTTATTTATCAGTGATGAAACTATGAATTAGTTGCATCCCCGAAAAAATAATATCACAGCTTCGTATTTATTTCTCACCATTATGATGTTTTATAATACTGCAGTATAGCAATGCAGCATTTGACTCTGACAAAATGCAACATATGGCATCCTGTGCCGTATATATAGAAGTGCAGCTCTGGCATATTTCAAACAGACATACAGTACGCTTGTAGCCGCAATACCGAAGATGAATTTCATGCAATTTTCCAACCTATAAACATCTCTTTTCACACGGCCCTCTGAACCACCAGTGTGTCATTTCCACTGCGAGATTATAGATTTTTATGGTTTCAAGTCGAGCGCTTTGTAACCTAATTAACACATCGCCCTCCCTGCCTACCAACAGATTAGATTTTTTTTAATCACTGCTATCTTACCAAAAGCACTATCTGTGCAGGTTTTTTTTATTTATTTTTTTACAGTTGTATATTACTCCCATTCATAATGTAGAGTTAGTAGCCTAATGAGATTTTGCGCTCGACTCAGAGACAAACTGTCTGGGTCCTAATGGTGCTACAGTTCACCGAGCGGCTGGTTGACCCATTTAGATGTTAACGCTCAATACTGCACCATACTCTGTTGGAGAGCTTCAGTATAACTCAATATATATATATAACACGTGCAGCAAAGTCATGGCTGGCACTGCCAAATAAATGCACCTTCCCTTTCAGTTGCAAACAACAGAATGATTTCAAAGTTTTTTGTCTTTTCTCTTCTGGATCAGACTTTAATTAATGTCTGCAATGTGTTTTAGGGCTGCAACCAACAATTACTTTCATTATCACATAATCTGCTGATTTTGTGTTCATTTAATAAGCCAGAAAAAAAGGCCCAAGGTGGTGAAGTCTTCAAATCGCTTGTTTTTTTGGTCTGAATCCTGAAGATAATGAATGTACTATCACATAAGACAAAGACAAATCTTCACATTTTAAGGATTGATTAACAGAATAGTCCGTTGATTAACTGAATAATGGGCTACTCTGAGCTCTGTGTGTGCACTTACAAACTCAAAAGGAGATCACTGTGTGCACATTCAGCCTTTACGTGAGGTTGCTACTGTGGGATTGACGGATATGAACATTTTTGTGGTTGTTCATGAAAATGAAAGTTGGTTTTATTTGGTTTTATATCGTCTTTTACGCCGTAGCGCATGTGTGAAGTTGTTTAA